CTCGGGGTTCAGTTCTCACCAGCCTCAGGGTTCGGTTCTCACCAGCAGACAGAGTATCTGCGGAGTTCCTCGGGTTCAGTCCTCATCAGCAGACAGAGTATCTGCGGGGTTCCTTGGGGATCGGTTCTCACCAGCCTCAGGGTTCGGTTCTCACCAGCAGACAGAGTATCTGCGAGATTCCTCAGGGATCGGTTCTCCCCAGCCTCAGGGTTCGGTTGTCAGTTTGGTTAAAGCTGCATTGTGTGTAAAACTAATTGATCCAGAAAAGGCTGATTGATTATGAGTTGACTTCCTGTGATGGGGGGGTCAGATTAAGTGTCCAGTGTTTCTGTGGATTCTGGGTTGTTTTCAGGCCAGCGGGGGTTTATTGGGGGGGCGGGGCCTGCTGGAGGCTGCTGGGAGTCATAACAGACAAACACACTGCTGAGGAAGAAGAAGAATACATCACAGAGAGGAGAGAGTTGCAAGTCTGAAGGTGACTTTAGGATGAAGAGGAGGAGGAGGGGTTTAATTTTTCATTTCCAGGAGATCACCAGATTTAATATGAGAGAGAGAGAGGGATGAAGAGGAGGAGAGATGAGAATCAGTGATGGATGATTCATGTCTGCTGACCAGAACAGAACCAGGACCCAAACAGAGTCCCTCTCAGCCTATCATAGTATCCTGGTACCGGTACTGCGTATCAGTACTCGCATCAGCTCTTCATTTGAGTGTGAAGACTGTTTTTAAAATATTCAGTTTTATTCTGTATGAAATCTGTTGTATTCTTTTTCAGCTGTTTTAGTTATATTATTATTACTTTATTTATTTTTATATTTGACTCTTATAAATCTTTTCTTCTGTCTCTTCATGTCGTTTCTTTTCTGTCTCATGTGAAACTCTGAGATAAACGATGCAGTGTGCAGACAGGAACCGGTCGGAGGCTCCATCAGACCGGTTCCTGTCTGTGGGGGAGGGGGACAGGTTTAATCTGTAAGTGGGTCATGCCCCCCCTCACTGTTAACTAGCTGTTAGCAGTTAGCATGGATGCACCGACATCCATCTCACTATTGAACCACGCAGGCTCTCAGGAGGTCCTGCAGCGCCTCGGGTTCCTCTCAGACCGAGTCTGGACTCTGAGACAGAACCCTGCAGACAGACTTACGGCCTAGAGACAGAAAAAGAATAAGAGTCCAGAAACAGACGTAACTGAATCTCTCAGAGAGGTCGGGCCGAGCAGAGCGTGAACATCTGAGGTGAAAAGAGACGCAGGCAGGACGACGGTCAAATATTCATATCATACTTTCTGAAAGCCTCGACAAACACCACACACACTTTAATGGATGTTAACAGAGAAAGGTTTTTATTTCATGACCAAAGCTCAGCTCTCTGTGTCACAGCTGTAAAGGTCATCTTCTTCTAAACCAGGTGAGGATTATAAAGTAAGATTCAGACCAAGTTTTCAGTTTTTATGTTGTTGTGACTTTCAGTTTAGTTTAAATGGGTTTTGAAAGCAGGTTTTCTGGTTTAGGTTTAGTCTTCAGGACTCGACGCCATGATGCCAGGTGAGGGGCGGGGAATGAAACTGGCACCGCTGACAACCTGGAAGATAAATTTCTACCCAAAACACCAGGCTTCTGTGAAACAAATATATTCAAAGACACTTACTCTGTTAGGATACAGTTCAGTTAGTTATCGTTTAATTTGCAAAGCAAAATTTTCATTAACCCTGATTCCGACGCACAGATGTTCCTTTAAAGGGCCGTCACACTGCTGGTGTCAGGAGTCAAAGTTAAGTCTGTCTTATAATAATAAACTAAATTGATCATCACATAATGTTAATATACCAGCTGCCAATAATCACCTGATTGATTAATGTTGTTTTTTATTATTTGATAAAATGAAAAACTTTTATTTTACAGGTTTCTCTGATCACAAAGTCTTATTTAGAAATGAGCAGGATCTTATTTTGAAGGACTCCTTATGTGGTTTTTAAAATAACTAAAATGTTAGCTGCAATGAGTCTTCGGTTTGATGTAATTTACTATTATTAATTAGAAATGATTTTACTACATTCTTAAGACAAGCTAACGATGCTAAAAGGAACTAGCCTCCTGACACCTTCAGGTGACTGGCCCATTGAGAGTCTCCCCAAACAGGACGGTCAGGCAGCTCGTTTGTTGCCTGAGAGGCAGAATCCGGGTCAGAGAAAGACTTTGTCACGTCACATCTGAAGAGACGCTGAAGCAGAATATTAAATGCCGAAACATGAAGGCGCTCACAGCGACTTCCTGTTTATCTGCCACCACGCTGAGTCGCCTCACCGAGCTCTAAGTCCTAAAGCTTGTATGATGGACACGCTGATGTATTATTAAACACACTCAGACAAACAGAGGCTGCTTTATAATTTATTGGCGGTAAAATGAATAAATAAGATGAGCTGAAGACAGACGAGCGAACACACCAAGCTCTGCCGGCTGTCACTCACTTTCCTGCTGTCGATCCCCGAGGAGCGTTTGTTTTAATCTGCTGACAGTCCCAGAGGGGCGGGGGTTACAACAAAGCAACAATCAGACTGACAGGCTGTTTGTGTTTTCTAACTTCCTCAAGGACCCTGAGACCTTTATCAAGGAACCCCTGATCCTCGTCCAAAACCTGAAGGATGACACCAAGCTCCACAAGATTCTCCTCACACAGCCATAAAACCTCTTCAAACCTCATCAAGGACCACCAGAACCCCATCAAACACCTATAAAACCCCGTCAGGGACCACCAGAACATTATCAACCACCAATAAAACCCCATCAGTGACCACCAGAACATTATCAACCACCAATAAAACCCCATCAGGGACCATCAGAACCTCATCAAACACATATAAAACCCCGTCAGGGACCACCAGAACATTATCAACCACCAATAAAACCCCATCAGGGACCATCAGAACCTCATGAAACACATATAAAACCCCGTCAGGGACCACCAGAATCTTACCAACCAACAATAAAACCCCATCAGGGACCACCAGAACCTCATCAAACACATATAAAACCCCATCAGGGACCATCAGAACCTCATGAAACACATATAAAACCCCATCAGGGACCATCAGAACCTCATGAAACACATATAAAACCCCGTCAGGGACCACCAGAACCTTACCAACCAACAATAAAACCCCATCAGGGACCACCAGAACCTCATCAAACAACAATAAAACCTCATCAGGGACTACCAGAACATTATCAACCACCAATAAAACCCCGTCAGGGACCACCAGAACATTATCAACCACCAATGAAACCCCATCAGGGACCACCAGAACCTCATCAAACACATATAAAACCCCATCAGGGACCATCAGAACCTCATGAAACACATATAAAACCCCATCAGGGACCGCCAGAACCTTACCAACCAACAATAAAACCCCATCAGGGACCACCAGAACCTCATCAAACACATATAAATCCCCATCAGGGACTGCCAGAACCTCATCAAATGATGGTGGGTAGGTTGTCTGCAGGGCCTAAGGCATTCTGGGTAGGCACATCAGGAAGCCCTTACCCTCATGTGTTGTGTGTGCTGAAGAAAGAGGTATTGATAAGAATTATACGGCCTCATCTGGGTGACCGTGAATCACAAAGTGTCGTACTGTCAAACATCTCATGCAGTTACCGTCATATACAGTAAATATATATATATGCTGCATAAACGGTGAAACGTGTCTTATATAAAACTATTCATGCGTTCCCATATTGATGTGAGATAAACGTCAACTCCACCACAAAACACAAGAAGCTTTTAAAACGTGTTTGTGGATGCTCCCAGTGTTTGAAGTAGAAAGCCAGTGTTTGTAGAACTGGGGTGAGGCCTAACAACACAATGCTCGCAGACAGACAGGTATTCATGTCGGTCAGCTGCAGGACGTGTTTACGAGAACATACCAGAGGCGGGTCACCACCCTGAGAGCTGCTGCCGTCTGTCATGTAGCAGCGGGTCTGAGCGGCGGACATGTTGAAACCTGACACACAGTTATTTCCTCTCCTCTAAGAATCCTGCTGTCTGCAGCAGAACGTCATTATACAGGAATACAGTATTCTGTATATAGTTACATGTTACAGCCCGTCGCTCTGTGTGAGACGGAGACGCTTCAGATCCTAATTGTCTCTGCCTGTAAAACTGATGGATTCGATTTACTGGCATGGATATAAAACACAGTGTTGTTAAAGCAGAAAGATTAATAACACTATAAGAAACATTTAAGGAGTGAACTTTAGTTAACAAACTGTGTTTCATGTTTTAAATTCTATGAATGTGTTGATTTTAGATTTCTTCTTTATTTTTTTACTAAGTTTATTATTTAGAAAATGTACTTTCTGTTTTGTTTGTTGTTAAAAACCTGATGAACGAACTCTACAGTCTAAAAATAAGGTTTCATATCAGAACTAAATCAGACTAAACATTACAGACGTCATGATCATCTATAATAAATCAATAAACTGAAAGACACAAACAACCCTGTTAAATAACCGACGGAGAGGTAGAAACTGCAGCAGCAGATTTCTGCACCTGTGTAATTAGCGCGCTAATTGCTAATCCCATGCTGTATATTGTTGGTTGGCACCCACATGGCGCACACACACACACACTGCTGCAGGGGTGTGTAGGTGTGTGTGTTCGCTCAGGAGATGGATGAGGTAAACAACTAGCATGCTATGCTGATTTGTACACTGTAGCCATTAAGAGCTAATGAGTGCGGCGCTAACGAAGCCTAGCCTGGCTCACTGCCTTAATGTCCTCACCGTTAACCATTAGCCACCTGATGAGATCAGTGCTAACGCAGCCTAGCTCGGCACGCTACGCTAATGACTCCAACATTAACCTCCTAATGAGCTCAGTGTGAGTGTAGCCTAGCAGTTAGCCGCTAGCTGCTAGCAGTCATTACAGAAAAGGGACTTTACAACATGAAACTGACATCATCAGCTGGATGCAGGTTTGGACCACGTGACCTGACTCACCTGCACACTTGGTTCTGGCTCTGAGCGGAGGTCCAGGGTTTCCTGTGCCTCCATCCAGGGGCCTGGTGAGCAGCACACTGATCTCGTACTCGGTGTCGGGGTCCAGGTGTCCGATCTTGTGGGTGGGCTTGTCGACGGGCGTGGTGTCGATCAACATGCCCGACATGGTGCGGTACTCCACCTCAAAAACAGATGATGTGTTATTTACATGTTAAACAGCATTCTGCACACTGGACAATCCACCTAAGGGACCACTTGGAACCCATTTCAGATCCCTAGAAACTCATCAAGGTCCACAAGAACCTCCTCGCAGATCCCTACAACCTCCTTAGGGACCAGTTGAAACCCATTTCAGATCCATAGAAACTCATCAAGGATAGTTAAAACCTCCATATCTTCAGAGGACATGCTCCCTATCCCAGACCCCTTCAACCTGGTCAACAGCCGCTAGAACTTTCTCACAGATCATCTCAAAGTTTGTCACAGACAACTACAGCGCCATGGAACATCCATAGAACCTAATTTAAGACCAAGGCCTCAGGGACCACATTTCAGACCACTGAAACCTCATCAAAGACGACCATAGACCCTTAAGAGATCTCCAGAACATTCCCAAGAACCATTTGAGCCCCATTAAAGATCCCTATAACCTAGTCAAGGACCATTAAAACCTCCACAACCACTAGAATCTCATCAAAGAGGACTTGAACCCCTTTCCAGACCCCTACAACGTGGTGGAGCTACTACAACTTTCAAAGTTTGTCACAGACAACTAGAACCCCATGTAAGATCTAGAGAACCTAATACAAGACCAAGGTCTCGGGGACCACATGAACACCATTTCAGTTCCTAAAACCTCAACAAGGACAACCACAGACCCTTAAGAGACCCCCAGAACATTATTTCAGATCAGCAGACCCTCCTCAAGCACCACTTAAACTTAAGGAACAACTGAATCCCATTCCAGACCCCTAGAACATCATTATGGATGGATGAAGACTCTATAGGACTATAGACGATATACAAGGACCGTGGCGTCCCCTCAAGATCTACAATATTTGTGTGCTTTTTCCATTAAAGACATAAAACATGGAACCCGCATCAAAACTAAATTTCTGTTCTTGGTCTTTGATGCTAAAAGGGTTGATAAAGGAGACCATCAACTTTAATCTCATGAATGTGTTGTACGTTTATGATTCGTGGTCCTGCTCAAATAAACGTGTAAATAAATAACTAAACCCCCAGAAGCTCATCAAGGACCTCTTCACATACTCCTAGAACCTCATCAGAGATGACTAGAACCGTCCAGAGAACCACCAGAACCTCCTCACAAATCAATATCAGATCAATATGTTATCCATAGTCACCTCTCTCTCAATGATTGGTCCATCTCCGTTGATGGAGTTGGCGTTGAGTTGGATCCACAGGTAGGTAGCGCCCACCGCTGTGAGCTGAGGAGGGGCGATCGGTACAGGAGGCTCTGAGGGACAAACAGAACCAGGATCAGTTTTACACTCAGACCGGGGTTTCACTGATCTCTCTTAACGAGAGAGGAATGAGTTAACAAGTTAATTAATATTCGTGACCTTCGGCGAATCACAGCAGACCTGGATTCCATTACCCAGAATCCCCGGTGGTGCTGCTCTACTTCCTCCTGACCCACTTCATCACGCACACACACAGTAAGTGGGATACATGTGTAATGATGCGTGTTTATCGTGTAACATGTTCAGGTTAATACTCACCTGCGTGTGTTTGAGATAAAACACACACACACAGTTTGAGTGACAGTTCAATCAGGGGTTTAACCACTGGGGATTGTGGGATATGTGTCGGGTCATGTGACCTACAAACACCTCCTCACCTGTCACTGTGTGTGTGTTTGCAGAGAGATCAGACAAGCTATCGACCCAGCTATCCGTCACACACACGCCTTCTCCCAGTATTGATCGGCTCTGTTATGAATGATATCAGACGGTCTGATCTGTTTCCTGCTCACATCCTCCGACACAAACTGAAACCTACAGCCACTCTGTTTTCTTTGAGTAATGCAACAGCTGGTTCACCGTCTGAACTAAGCTAATCAGTAAAAATGGGGGAGGACAGCAGCGAGCTGATCAGATAATCAGGACACCGAAGCATCTGAGAAGGAGAACGAGGAAGTATTTTAAATGACCAACAGAGATCCGCCTCTGCTACTCTGCAACCACAACACACCTGAGGACTCAGCTGCTGCACGGCAGGCATTACACTGTAGAACCACTAGAACCTCTTCAGACAACTCTGCAACCTCAGCAAGGATCACTAGAACCTCTTCAGACACCTCTGGATCCTCAGCAAAGATCACTAGAACCTTTGCAGACAACTCTGCAACCTCAGCAAGGATCACTAGAACCTCCTCAGAAACCTCTGTAACCTTAGCAAGGATCACTAGAACCTCTCCAGACAACTCTTGAACCTCAGCAAGGATCACTAGAACCTATTCAGACAACTCTGGATCCTCAGCAAGGATCACTAGAACCTCTCCAGACAACTTTTGAACCTCAGCAAGGATCACTAGAACCTATTCAGACAACTCTGGATCCTCAGCAAGGATCACTAGAACTTCTTCAGACAACTCTGCAATCTCAGCAAAGTATCACTAGAACCTCTTCAGACAACTCTGGATCCTCAGTAAGGATTACTAGAACCTCCTCAGAAATCTCTGTAACCTTAGCAAGGATCACTAGAACCTCTTCGGACACCTCTGCAATCTCAGCAAGGATCACTAGAACCTCTTCAGACAACTCTGGATCCTCAGCAAGGATCACTAGAACCTCTTCAGACAACTCTGGATCCTCAGTAAGGATCACTAGAACCTCTTCAGACAACTCTGGAACCTCAGCAAGGATCACTAGAAACCCCGTCACAGACCCTGTGAACCTCCCTAGAGCACCAAACACTCCTCATACCTAAATGACAATTATCAATTGTACCAAAACACTATATATGGCCGTTGGATGGAAGCATCAGGCATACCAGACCTTAAGGATGTTATATAAGTCACATGATGTTAAACACGTTGTTAACTTGTGAAACAGTTGCAGTTTGGTTCAGTTTAGGCAAAGACCGTGATCAATAAGTATGTGACGTGAGAGGGTAACGTCATTTAACTTCACTTTAAAAAATCAACCTTGACTCTGTAGTCTGTCCCGACAATCCACCTCCTTACGTGGACTTTCTCACTGTTTATGCTAAGTCACCTGACTTCCTCCTGTGCTCCCGTCATATGGGCTCTAGGGGAGGCGGCCTAAAGGTGTGTTCACATCAAAAGCGAATCCAGCATTTTGGGCAGCTTTATTACTTACAAAGTCAATGCAATGACGCTAATTCCTGCGAATTTGCTCCAGGCGACGCGAATGAGGCGTTTGTCGCGAAATACGCTTGTTTGCGTGAGTTCAAATTTTTCAACTTGGGCGAGAAATTCCCTTGACGCGATGTTGCAAATGCCTAGCAGCTTCGGAGCGTTGTTTGGAGAGGACCAGACGAGCGGTGTAATGACAATTAAAAATGATTTATCTTCACTACACAACCATGACACAAACGCATGGCTCAACACAGAAGGGCCAACTCCTCAGGTCAAGACTCTGCAGTCTACTTACATCTGAAGGACAGAGGACACTCGTTTGAGGACCACCAGGTGCACATTTTAGACAGAGAAGATGGATGGTTTAAAAGAGGTGTCAAGGAAACATCTACACCAGGGTTGAGAAGCCGTCATTGAACAGGGGAGGGGGTCTACGCCACCACTTATCCCCCACTTACAATGCTGTCCTTTCATCACTTCCCAGGAAACTCAACAACGTAACCTATTGGCCTCAGGTGAAGATACCAACGATGGTCGTTCAGTCTTGGCCACAGGTAGTCTTAACGACTGTAACGACTGACGTCACAGCAACCAGGAACACTAACGAACCAGCGGTATCGATGACCCGGGCCAACGACCCCACTGAGGTTAAATAGCTGAGTTTCCCTGCCAGTCAGTCAGAACTGAAGAAGTCCTTTGGATGAGGGACGAAACGTCTTCCAGTATCTTCAACCAAGTCTAGTTGCCCTTGATTTTAACCTTTGTTGGATAACTATGACCTGGATGACTGAGAATCTTCATAGACATCTTCACTTGAGCTTCTCAGCAGCTAGCTTCTGTGCAAATCCGGTTCCACTGAGGTTGTTAGCGTCGGATGGCACCGGAGTTCTGTCGGACTACGACTTCATATTTATATAAAAAACGGAAAAAACTGGACATTACTTGGAGAAAAGAAAGCGAGGAGGTTGAACTACCTGGTGAGCTCAGAAAACATTTTTTTTTTTCTATATATTTAAAAGGGACAGTGCCCAAATGTAAATGAGCCAGATTTAGCCATACAGACTAATTTTCATCTGAAGTCCCTGGCAGGTTGATGTTATTACAACATTAAAACATGGATAAAACATTAAAACACGAATTACATAAGCACAGACAAAATCAGACAATCACAAATAATATGACACGTAGAATACCTCGACATGTAAGTACAGGAATATATAAAAAAACAATTACAAAGCATTATGACTACATATTTGATTGTCCAATAACCACTGTTTTATAGCTTTTGAAAAGGTGGTAAGAAAAGAAATGTTTCTTAATTCTGTAGGTATCGTATTCCAGGTACGCGCTGCTCGGTAGGAAAAGGCTGACTGTCCGAAGGAACTTTTCCTGTATGGTATTCTACAGTCACCTCTGGAAGTAGCTGTGGTAGATGAGTTAAGGTGTTACACGTGTCTGTAACTTTATTCTGCCTGTCGTTGTACTTTACTGTGACCAAGTTAGCATAGCATAGCCCTGATCGATCCGAACTCCATTTGCAAAACAAACATTTTAGAAGTTGTTGTCCTGCTGACAGACCTGACAAGGCATGAATTCATATGTTTAACAAAACAGCATCGTATTAAAGTTATTTCGGCATCAGTTTGATCCGTTTATAGCTATTAAATCACAGCAAAGGGATTACTTTGGGTTCATACAGCTGGAGTATCCGCGGGCTGTGTTTATTTGCTTAAAACGTCAAAATGTCCAGCGGTCAAACTCGCGCGAGTAAAGCGAGGCGAATATTAAATCCACTTTCAGTGTGAACGAACCTTAACAATAAACCTAATTATGGTTCATAATAAGCTGCTGCTCAGTTGGCATTACGGCCATTTTCATGATGAGGACGGGCTGAGAATCCCTAGAACCTCATGATTCCAGACCCCTACAACAAGTGCCACAAGACGTTTTTCTCACAGGTCCCTAGAAGCTCTTCAAGTACTAAAACCCCACAAAAGATTTTTAGAACCTCACTTAGGACCACTAAAACCGCCCCAGAGACCACTTGAACTGCATTTCAGACACCTTAAACTCATCGGGGACGTCCATGAACCCCTCACAGATTGGTGAAACCTTCTCATGGATTCCAGGAACCTCATCAAGCACATTTAGAACCCCTAACAGCTCACCAGTCCTCTCACATATCCCTAGAAAAGACCCTTGAGAACTACTTTTAGGACCTTTAGAACTCATCAGAGACCACCGAACACCTCTGACAGTCCAACACTGTATGGGTTACATTTGACTTTTTGAAACATCTCTGCAAGGAGAGTAAAGCGTGTTTTCCATCCACCTGTTTTGTGTATATGCAACACCAGGAGCCTGAGAGAACTGCTCTGTACTGACTAATGAATTCGGATGTAGTCGTCCTCTGACTGATGGTTACTGGGACCAGATCCAAAGACACAATGATCCATCCAAGAGAGCGATCAAACCTATCAGCAGCGATTATGATCTTGAGATGAGGAGAACATGAATTTGAAAAATGATCTTCCCTTTAGTTCCCCGTGTCTCTCCGCAGAGAACAGGTCGGCATGATGGGAGAGGAAAATACCCAGAATTCTCCTTAACAGGCGGAGATGAAAGCGATGTTTCTGAGTCGTCTGACAGCTCCGTCACACGGCAACACAGCTCGTTTAATGAGTCATCATTAACACACCATATACCTGTGTGTGTGTGTGTGTGTGTGTGTGTGTGTGTGTGTGTGCGTTAGCAGCCGGGTTAGCGTGCTAACGCACTGACAGGCTGGAAACAGGAAGAAAAAAAAGGGCTTTTACTTTGGAGTGATTCGTCTTCACAAACGCAGACGCTCTCTGACAAAACGCCGCTGATTCTCCTTTTTAAACAGCAAACTGACTTTCTAATGAGGCTGTGCTTTAACCTGACACTAACACACACACTAACACACACACTACACACTAACACACACACACTAACTCACACACACTAACACACACACTCACAGTCACAGTGCAGTAATGAGGTGAGCAGCTTTAACTGTTCCTCGTTTGACGACGGACTCATTAAAATAAAAATGTGACAAACTACTGCTTTGATCTAAAGGAGACAGAGAGACAGGTGGAGAGAGACAGAGAGAGGTGGAGAGAGACAGAGAGAAGTGGAGAGAGACAGGTGGAGAGAGACAGAGAGAGGTAGGGAGAGAGACAGGTGGAGAGAGACAGAGAGGTGGAGAGAGACAGGTGGAGAGAGACAGAGAGAGGTGGAGAGAGACAGGTGGAGAGAGACGGAGAGAGGTAGGAAGAGAGAGAGAGAGAGAGGTGGAGAGAGACAGAGAGAGGTAGGGAGAGAGACAGGTGGAGAGAGACAGAGAGAGGTAGGGAGAGAGACAGAGAGAGGTGGAGAGAGACAGGTGGAGAGACAGGTGGAGAGAGACAGAGAGAGGTGGAGAGAGACAGAGAGAGGTAGGGAGAGAGACAGGTGGAGAGAGACAGAGAGAGGTGGAGAGAGACAATGAGAAGTGGAGAGAGACCGGTGGAGAGAGACAGAGAGAGGTAGGGAGAGAGACAGGTGGAGAGAGACAGAGTGAGGTGGAGAGAGACAATGAGAAGTGGAGAGAGACAGGTGGAGAGAGACAGAGAGAGGTAGGGAGAGAGACAGGTGGAGAGAGACAGAGAGAGGTGGAGAGAGACAGAGAGAGGTAGGGAGAGACAGGTGGAGAGAGACAGAGAGAGGTGGAGAGAGACAATGAGAAGTGGAGAGAGACAGGTGGAGAGAGACAGAGAGAGGTGGAGAGAGACAATGAGAAGTGGAGAGAGACAGGTGGAGAGAGACAGAGAGAGGTGGAGAGAGACAGAGAGAGGTAGGGAGAGAGACAGGTGGAGAGAGACAGAGAGAGGTGGAGAGAGACAGAGAGAGGTGGAGAGAGACAGGTGGAGAGAGACAGAGAGAGGTGGAGAGAGACAAGTGGAGAGAGACAGAGAGAGGTAGGGAGAGAGACAGAGAGAGGTGGAGAGAGACGGAGAGGTAGAGACAGAGACAGGTGGAGAGAGACAGAGAGAGGTGGAGAGAGAAAGGGAGAGGTGGAGAGAGACAAGTGGAGAGAGACGGAGAGGTAGAGACAGAGAGAGGTGGAGAGAGACAGAGAGAGGTGGAGAGAGACAGAGAGAGGTAGGGAGAGAGACAGGTGGAGAGAGACAGAGAGAGGTAGGGAGAGAGACAGAGAGAGGTGGAGAGAGACAGGTGGAGAGAGACAGGTGGAGAGAGACAGAGAGAGGTGGAGAGAGACAGAGAGAGGTAGGGAGAGAGACAGGTGGAGAGAGACAGAGAGAGGTGGAGAGAGACAATGAGAAGTGGAGAGAGACCGGTGGAGAGACAGAGAGAGGTAGGGAGAGAGACAGGTGGAGAGAGACAGAGTGAGGTGGAGAGAGACAATGAGAAGTGAGGAGAAGAGTGGAGAGGACAGAGAGAGAGGAGAGAGACAATGAGAAGTGGAGAGAGACAGGTGGAGAGAGACAGAGAGAGGTAGGGAGAGAGACAGGTGGAGAGAGACAGAGAGGTAGGGAGAGAGACAGAGAGAGGTGGAGAGAGACAGGTGGAGAGAGACAGGTGGAGAGAGACAGAGAGAGGTGGAGAGAGACAGAGAGAGGTAGGGAGAGAGACAGGTGGAGAGAGACAGAGAGGGGAGAGAGACAATGAGAAGTGGAGAGAGACAGGTGGAGAGAGACAGAGAGAGGTAGGGAGAGAGACAGGTGGAGAGAGACAGAGTGAGGTGGAGAGAGACAATGAGAAGTGGAGAGAGACAGGTGGAGAGAGACAGAGAGAGGTGGAGAGAGACAATGAGAAGTGGAGAGAGACAGGTGGAGAGAGACAGAGAGGAGGAGAGAGACAGGTGGAGAGAGACAGAGAGAGGTGGAGAGAGACAGAGAGAGGTAGGGAGAGAGACAGGTGGAGAGAGACAGAGTGAGGTGGAGAGAGACAATGAGAAGTGGAGAGAGACAGGTGGAGAGAGACAGAGAGAGGGGAGAGAGACAGAGAGAGGTAGGGAGAGAGACAGGTGGAGAGAGACAGAGAGGTGGAGAGAGACAGAGAGAGGTGGAGAGAGACAGGTGGAGAGAGACAGAGAGAGGTGGAGAGAGACAAGTGGAGAGAGACAGAGAGAGGTAGGGAGAGAGACAGAGAGAGGTGGAGAGAGACGGAGAGGTAGAGACAGAGAGAGGTGGAGAGAGACAGAGAGAGGTGGAGAGAGACAAGTGGAGAGAGACGGAGAGGTAGAGACAGAGACAGGTGGAGAGAGACAGAGAG